AGAAGACTGAGAGGAGACCTTATCACTCTCTACAACTACCTGAAAGGAGGTTGTAGTGAGGTGGGTGCTGGCCTCTTCTCTAAAATAACAAGTGATACGACAAGAGGAAATGGCCTCAAGCTGCACCAGGGAAGGTTTAGGCTAGATATTAGGAAAAATTTCTTCACTGAAAAAGTGATCAGGCATTGGAACAGGCTGTCCAGGGAAGTGGTGGAATCACCATCCCTGGAGGCGTTCAAGAAACGTGTAGATGTGGTGCTTAGGGACATGGTTTAGTGAGTTAGGTGTTGTTGGGTTGGACTTGATGATCCCTTGAGGTCTTTTCCAACCTTAATGATTCTATGATTCTTCTATGATTCTGTGATTAAAGAGCACTGTCCCTAGAACTGACACCTGGGGAACCCAGGTGACTGTCCGCCAGCCTTGCTAAACGCCATTTACTCTATGAGCCCAATCTGTCAGTAAATTGCTCACCAACACATTAGGGACTAGGCTAGATGTATGCTGGATATTTTGTCCAGCAGGATACTGTGAGAGACAGCATCAAAAGCTTCTCTAAAATCTCAAAACCCCACGTCTGCTGGCTTCCCTTGGTCAACTAGATCATAGAATCACAGAATGGTTAGGATTGGAAGGGACCTTAAAGATCATCTAGTTCCAAACCCCCTGCCACGGGCAGGGACACCTTCCACTAGATCAGGTTGCTCAAAGCCTCATCCAACCTGGTCTTCAACACCTTCAGGGATGGGGCATCCACAGCTTCCCTGGGCAACCTGCTCCACTGTTTCACCACTCTCACAGTTAAAAAACTTCTTCCTAATATCTCACCTATATTTACTGTCTTTCCCTTGTCCTCCCTGATAAAGAGTGCCTCCCCTTCTCTCCTGTAGGCCCTGTAAGTACTGGGAGGCTGCTATAAGGTCTCCCCACAGCCTTCTCTTCTCCAGGTTAAACATGCTTAGCTCTCTCAGGCTGTCCTCATATGGGAGGTGTTACAGCCCTCTGACCATCCTTGTGGCCCTCCTCTGGACCCACTCCAACATGTCCATGTCTTTTCTGTGCTCAGTACTCCAGAGCTCCATGCAGTACTCCAGGTGGTGTCTCATGAGAGTGGAGTAGAGGGGCAGAATTGATGGGTGATCTTGTCACAAAAAGAAATTAAGTTAGTTAACCTGACTTTCCCCTCATGAACCCATGCTGGCTATGATCAATGACTGCACTGTCTCCCAAGTGTTTTTCAGTAACTCCCTTCTCCATAATTTTGACATGCACTGAAGGGAGACAGGCCTGTAATTACCAGAGTCTTCCTTCTTTCCCTTCTTGAACACTGGGAAAACCTTTGCCAGCTTTGAGTTGACTGGGAGCTCTCCAGACTCCCAAGACCGTTCAAAAATAATGTAGGGAGGTGCCACTCTCAAAGTGTCTCAATGTTTTTGGGATGCTTTCTGACCTCTTCATTGAGCACCTAAGATCCTCCTTATTTCGTTCTGAATGCCTTAGATTTCTGAGCAGCCTGGAAGGGAACATTAATATCACTCAGAACTGCATCAGTACCTGAATAGTAAGCTTTTTAATTCATTGAGGTTCAAAAATTTGTTCCAGAAGAACAGACCCTCATCCTGTGACTTCTCCCCACCTCTACTCCCCACCTCTGAGAAAGGGCACAAAGAGTAAACAAGCTCCACACCTACTCATCAAATGCTGAAAACTGTGGGCTGCTTCTGGATACTTTATCAAAAGAAGGAGATTTTTACAAAAATCAAACATATTTTTAACAGAAGGAGGGAGGATAAGAATAGGTTTTCTATTTTAAGACAGTACAAAATAAAATTATGCTGAAAGTTGGGGTTAATAAATGAGGACATTAGAAAAATCCACTAAAACACCATATTACAGTTTAAAAATATGAAAAAGTAACATATCCCCAAAAACTCGTGCAAACTGATGCTTGGCAGCACTTACTGGAAGATGATTTAGCATCAGGATTCTTTCAATGCTCATTTCAAAAGTCCTCTCTGCAATGTTACAGATAGCAGTCCACACAGACAACAGGATGTACAACTGCACGGATACAGCATTGGCCAAAGTGATAACAGGGGACAGTCCCTGTAGCCTCACTGACATATCTTCCTCTATTCAGACTTTACAGAAAAGTGAAATTGCTCTAGAGCTTAACATGAAATTTAGTTTCTCTTGTTCAGGTTCAGAAGAAATGGGATTACTACTTTCCTTAGTGGCCTGCTGTGCAGTAAACCTCCATCTATGAAGACTGACAGGCACTTCAGTTATGGACACTTTGGGCTCCTAAGAAGTCACACGGGGGTTTCATGGTTATAGTGGTTTAATTGTCACTGTGGTTTTAATTTACTACTGAACATCACTTTTACAAAATACACTGCAGTATACTTCCTAACTTGTAAAAATGTATTACCATGAATACCTTCATTAGCCTATTCATAACACTACATCTGACAAAAGAATACTCTGCTATCCATTTCTCTTTCTTTTCACTTCTCAAAAAAAAAAAATTAACAGTTCATGGAGTTTTGCAGCTTCAAGGTACAAATTTTTAAGAAACTCTACAGTATTTGGTTACTCAAATAAAAGCAGTCTCGTGTACTTCAGGAACCACAGGGTGGGAAAAGTAAAGGAAAGGGAACCCAGTATCAAAAATATCTAGAAGTTTCAACCTTCTAGATTTAAAGAAAAGTGGGAAAAATTCAACCAGAATTCCCTGACATAAAGCAAGCTTTTATTTTTATTAAGGAAAAATAAGATATGATTCAATGTAAAATTGAAAAATCTATCCTTATTTTCTTTACTTCCAACTAAGTTTTTTCAAAGTGGGGAAAAGCATACTTCTGTAGAACACTGAAAGGCTGAACTTTCTGTGGGCATCCCAGCATACCTCCTGAATGGCTGTCATGACAACATGTTGAACCGATTCTTCCATCATCATTATGGTCTGGATGTACTCTGAAAATAAGAGCATTCTGAAATGTTACTGTTGAAATTCAAGCCACATAGATCACGAGGGAAGAAGCTGCATCCTTCCTACAAAATTACTAGCTGCGCAGATGACAATGACATATATAATCACCAGTCACATCCCAGCCCAATAAACTCAAAAAGACTTTATCAGAAGCCTGTTCAGACACAAATCCAGGCTCATCAGAACTCTGCAATAATGAAAAAGTAGATGATTATAACCTTTTTTTTTTTTCCTTCTTGCATCTCACACTTCTGAAATAACTACTTGTATTCCTTTTCTCACTTTGTTCCCAATCTATTCAGGTTATACAAGTACATGATCTATGCACAGGTTGTCCTTTTCCGAAAGTTTCACAATAACTTCCTGCCTTCCTACAGCATCCTCATTTCAAGGTATTTTCATATCCGTTCTTGGTTTCTGTTCTTATTTCTGTGTTGTATCACAAATAAGTTCCCTCCACTTTTTCATGCCTCACCTATGTGTCGATATGAGCTACACAACAGGTACCTTGCAAGATGATACAGTGGTTAGAATGACAAATTCTGACATTTAGATCAAGCAGTTTATGACTTGCCTATTATCAAACTGTTTCCAGTCAGATATGATCACCTTTACATGTGACCTGGATTCTTTTAATCATTTGCCCAAGAGGAAGATGACGGGAATCAGTTACCTCAAAGTGACTGTGTCATGACAACTCAAAGTACATAAAACTAGATTGTTCCAATATTTCAAACATGTACATTTCTAATGTTCAGACTTAAAGAGTAAGAGGAAAAAAAAAACAGGAATAAGATATGCTTTCCATTTGAGGATGCCAAATAGTCACCAAAAGGAAGAAAAAAAAATTTATGTAAAACAGAGAGGACATGAGGCCAAATACAACAGTTATCTATATTCCCATGGAAGAAAATGTATTCTATTTTAATTAATAGGATAGCCAAACTGTCTCCTGATTAAGGGAAGAATAAAGGTAATTTCAGAAGGAGAAATCAAAGTGATTTAGACACCTAAGAAAACTGGAAAGGCAAAGTTAGCTATGAAAGCTAAAAAATACACCATGCAAGAGGGAGACAAAAGGTCTGAAATCCTGGCTGGCAGTTTGTCAGAAAGGAAACCAAAATGACTTAAATCAGGAGACAGATATTGGCTGCAACTTTAATGTAAATACAGTACACATGTTCCTATGCTTCCTAAGTGTTACAAATAAATGTTTGTAGTTGCTTTGTTACCTTAACCTGGCTTGAATTAAGTGTCACTTAAGGTAATCAGGTAATAATAACACCCTGCACCCAAGGCAAGTTTAGAGCATTCGATCTGGGACACTTCAAGAAGCATTTCCATTGTTCATCACATCCTCTGTGGCATTTGCAGGAAAAATGAATGGGTCCGTATTGTACCTGTGCAGGTCAGACAGCTGGTGCCACAGAAGTCAGGTAGATAGAAGCCTCTTTCAGTGACTGCTGAAGTGAGATTCAATTGCCCAACAGATGTCTCAAGTGACATTTTGGATGCCCTTAAGGTATCACGCATGGTCTTAACCTGTTGCCCAGAAGGGCATGGTTGACAATATTACTTTTTCCTTTGCAAGCCCTATGCAAAAGTCTCGGAAACTACAGTATCCCAAATCACACCAGATATATCTTCAGACCAACCCCCAGTCATACAGATGCCTCTCGCCCATGTAGTAAGAAGCTGACTGGAATGCATTCACGAAAACTCAGTAGTCAAACTGAACAGTGCAACAATCACATCTTTTGATTCTTAACTATCTCAATCTACCTCATAAATGGTTAAAGGATGGGCCCAAGAATTTTCCTTTGTAGAGTGCCTTTTCAGCTCAGGAAACAAACATTGAAAATATGTCAGAAGCAAAACCAGCTCCATAGTTTGTGACACTAAAACTAGTGAAGTGTGTAACAAAACAACAGTTATTACCTGTAGGAAAATATTATGTCATCACTGAAAAAAATATATTTGTCTCTCACAGTAACTTGAGAAATACAATTCCTCCCCTAAGTAGTTACACAACAAGATGGATATTCATTCACTGCCTGGGAGAAAAACATACTTTCAAAATTTAATACCTTGCTTCTGTTCACAATTCACAGCGCATCCCAAAATAAGCTGGAGCATTCTCCCAAGCTCCGCAGCATCAGCATGCTCTCCGATCAGGTTAACATCAGGAAGGGTGAAGTCATTAATCTGCTGCCCTAGAATCTGCATAAAGAGCCAGCACATGTCTATATCACTACACATTCACAAACATTTCAAAACACAAAGCTGATCCAGAATCAACAAGAGCAACTCACTCATACTTTAACATAGTTTCCAATCCACCTCAAAACAAACTAAACTGGTTAACACCCAACATCCAAATATTAAGCCATGCTGCTTGACACAATTAGTATTTGTGAGAAAACAAATCTGACTGTTTCAACTAATAAGAAACTATTAGTTTCAAACCTAGCAAGTTTTCTTCAGATAAGAAAGGTAACAAAGACAGGCTTCCATGGTGATCACCAGCACATGGATGCTTCATTTTTTTCAAGCATTCAATTTAAAAAAAAAACTAATGCCTTAAAACACCTCAGGTAGCATAAGATATTATACACAAGTGTCACATTTCTTACCATTACAAAGAAATTTAAATACTTCACTTACACAATACATGTCTCTAGCACTGACGGATGACAAACATAAGACAGTAAAAAAACTAAATCACTTGGCATCACACTTTCAGAAAATTTAAGGACATTTAGCAAGTCTCAAAGCTAAGCAAGCTAGTTCCATGGAAGAGTAGTACAATACATAATTAAACAGCCCACATGCATAAAGAAAAATAAAACCAAAAGCATGTGACTTACAATTAATGTAAACTGATTTATAATTAAGAAGGATTTACATTAATGATTGTCAGTAGAAGGAATTAAATAATTCTGCTAAATTGTTCATGAAGCACTGCCAAGGGGTTAAAATATGAATACGAAATGTGGAATTAAACACATCTCTGACACATTAATTGCAGATAAAAAGAAACTGTCACTTCTTAAGCAGGGTGCAATAAAGAAACATGATTATGAAGGGAATCAGTCATTTGTTTGCTGGATGCCCTTTTTTGTGTTAATATTAAAGAAAAACAGAGAATCAGGTAAAGGTATTTATAAAAAACATTTAAAAGATGTACAGGAAGAATACAAGGAAATCAAGCCATTCAAAAGTTTTCCAGGGCTGGGCTTTACGGAATTGTTGTGGTTGAGTTTGTTCTTGTTTTGTATGGTGGTTTTCATATTGTTGCATTATTTTTTTTCAACAGCTTTTTCAAAGAACAAGCACCAACACTACTAAAAATCTCTGTATACTTTAAGGGATCCAGATTTTTTTCCTGCTGGAAAAGACTTCCTTTAAGTCATTCTAGTGAGAAATAGGAATCCTGTGAATGCATCAAGCACAATGGAAAAATATTACCATTGTATATAGACCATGATAATACAGAAAAAAAACAATTCTTTAGATTATACAAATCTAAAATGTATTTATATATTTATCTATATATTGATTTATATATAGATATTGATGGGGGTGTCAGTAAATGAAAAACTGAAC